AGCCTGTGGAATGGAGAGCACAAAGGATGAATGCTAACTTATACTGTGAGCATTAGTTAATAGTAACATATCAGTATTGGCTCTTCAGTTATAGTAAGCATCCCTGTCTGCTTTAAAGTGCATATAGTGGTGAGCTTTGTACATTCTTTATAGAAGAGGAAATAAAGGAGTACTCTTCATGCTTTCTGATCAATTTTGCTGTGACCCTAAAGCTGTTCTAAAAATAAAGTCCATTAATAGTAATAATAATAATAATAATAATAATAATAATAATAATAAAAGTAATGATGATGATGAAAGGTAAAAGGAATATAAATAACTTCAGAAAAACAACAATGTTGTCATCTCAGATTTTAGCTGTCAGGGTGAGATGCACATACATGAGGCATCACTAGTGCCAGTGAGGCTGTTTCCTTTGTCCCCTCTGGTCCATCTTCTTCCTCCCTGTAGCTTCAGCAAGACACTCTTAATGCTACAACATTCTGGCTTTTTCAACAGCTGGGAGATTTCCAAAATGGCACCCTATTCTCCTGGCTGGCCCATTCTTTCATCTCCAGTGTTTCCTTTCTCCATCATGCTTAGAATGACACTTCCTTCCTCACCTAAGGGAAACTCAGGGTTCAGATTCAAGCTCATCCTTCAGAACCATCCTTAACTCCCTTCCTTGTTCCTTTGATTATTGCCTTCACTTGTCAGTGCAGATAGTGCTTAGTTATCTCCTTCTAGGAAACATTTGAGTAGGGCTGGGGAAAACTCTCAAGCCCTTTTTGTTGTCCTTCCTTGAAGCAGTTGGAAGGAGAAGAATAAGGAGAGGGCTGTTTTTTCCCAAGCACTGTGTGCATCCATCCCTCAGGCTGGTCCCCTCTCCCTTATGTTGCTCTCATTAGACATAAAAAAGAAGCAATGGATAAGCCTCACCCTGGGAAAACCACCTTCATAATCATGCTATCTCCCCTGCCAGGTAAGTATGAGGCCGGGGAGATAGCTCAGTAGAAGAATAAACCCTTGCCTGGCAAGAGTAAGGTCCTGAGTTTAATCCCCGGTACCCCCCCCCAAAAAAAGCAATACTGGAAATGCTAGGCTGATTCAATGTAAGTTGGACAGAATCAGAACTACTGAAAGAAATAATAGATCATGAGTGACCAAAGCAGGGGATAAAAGTGGATTAATGTAGGACATGCAAAAAAGCCTTTCATTATTTGGAAATGATCTCTGGGACCACTAGTCTGACAGTGTGATTCAGTCAACCTGATCCATGCCCTAAATATGTCTTTGTACCATCTGGAATTCTCTCTTTGATTCTCTATGCCTGGTGATATTCACATATTTTTCTATCACCAGTCATAGGCCCTGGATAGTTTGAAGGAACAATAAAATGTAGTCTCAGGTCAAGGATTTTGAATCCGGAAACTATTTGTTGGCCATATGGTTGGGATTATTTTTTTTCTGTGTCTGGAAAATGAGTGGGTGTCTAACCCATCTAGCACGTAAGTGTAGGTATTTCCTGGTAAAATCATGGGAGGACAAGGCTGCTCCAACATCATGTAATTTATTTGTCTAATAGGCTATGGCTGAGCTTAGCTATTTGGAAAAACCTCATTATAGTATGGTAACTCTGAGATAGAGTAAGATTTCTTTCAGAACAAACCCCATGAGGAGCCAGAATACCCATTGCAGATATGTAAATTAAAATGCTGAATAAACTCATTGAACGAACTACAAAAAAATGTATCTCATACATTGTAATTAATTCAGTAATTTACATAATATCTATTCCAGAAACTTTTCTTAAATAACAAAATGTCACAAACTTTACAATAGAGTACACAAGTTGACAGTAAAGAGAAAGACAAGCAAGAGGAAAATGTCTTAAGATATAAAATCAAAGAAAATATAATCTATTAGTAACTGCAAAGTATTAGTTAAATTAACACTGTGAATATGATTTGGAAATGCAAAACTTTTCCTTTAAAAAAATCTTCAATATTCCATAGTTTCACTCAAAGAGCAGCTCTCATAATCTGGGATTATGTCATCTGGCATTATGAAGACCTTCTATGCAGCAATCACAGCTCAGAGTGGAAGGCAATGCTCTTCGGGGGCATATCCTTGCACAGAGCTTCTGGTCTGTCTTTGGAGATAGTTTTCCCCTCATTTGGAAATCCAAGTAGAGTGCATGGATTGCTGCTTTTGGTCAAAATCACATTTGACAGTTATTTTTCTTATTAAAGATGAGCATAATTTCTAGAAACAAAACAATAAAGAGTCAGTAAACAAAACCTGTTTCAAGTTTCCGAATTGCAGCTGAAGGGAATGACTAGGTTTTCAGAGCAATGATAAGTGGTCCTCACTTGCAGCTCATGTGATAGTGGCAGCTAAACCCTGTGCAGATGAGTCTCGAAGACTTCTATATAGGAGCAGCCTAGTTGAGAGACGGTTGTAACGCCCTCAGGTAATGGCCTGGGAAGGGTAAGAGATGTGGTATGAACGTGCACTTGTACTCTGTTGGCAGCTGCCTCTGTGAGGACAGGCTGCATAGCAAGAAGCAGCAGAACAGCCCTGGGATGCCCTGGGATGCTGGATCAAGAAAATGCCTTGAAAAGAAAAGTGCTAAACTTCTTACGAAAGAAGTCAACACCATTGAAAACAGACATCAAGGGCTGGAGAGATAGCTCAGTACAATAAACACTTCCCTGGCAAGCACAGGGTCCTGAGTTCAATCCCTGGTACCACAAAAAAAAAAAAAAATAGACAGCAAGATAGATAATATTACTACAAATTCCTGGATTAGACAAATAATTGCTTTGCTGTTGAGTGAGTAATTTTCTTTCAGAAAACAAAGTTTTAATATTAGGGACAGGGCCAATGAGATAAATCAGCAGGCTAAGCATCTGTTTAGGCAAGTGTAGGGATTTGGGTTCAATCCCAGGTACTACATGCCATGCCTGACCTACTTGTGCGTGCACTGAGCCAGCCACCTAGTCTGGGCATGGTGGTGCACACCTGTAATCCCAGCACTGGGGAAGCTGAAACAGAAGGAGCCGCATAGTGAGACCCTGTACTAAATACATTAATAATAATAATAAGAAGAAGAATAGGGACAGAGAGCCAGACTAATTTTAAATTACTGGAAAATCATTCAGAAAAGCATATTTATATGTGGGAATAGGTGTATCTGTGAGTATACTTATGTATATTTGTATAGATACATAAATACAGAGAGGCCAAATGATAAGCAAATTAAAGCAAATGTCAGGAATTGGCAAGCATGCATAAAGGATGTTTAGAGTTTATTTGATCTAGTCTCGAGACTTTTCTGTACCTTTGAAATGATATCAAAATAAAATCCAAAGGACAAACATTCAGGCTGGGTGCAGAAGTGGCTTATGTGTTTAAGTTTGTGACATGTGTAGTTGGACGATACAAATCACACCTTCCCACCCACCAAAGTTGGAAAAGATAACCAGAATCTACAACCTCAACATTCTAAAGCTAGCCTGACATGCCTAGTATTTTGACATTTCAAGACTTTTTGTCATGTATAGATTTAAACAATAATTTGTATTTTTTGTGTTCATAAGTCTGCCACTAGTATTTTTGTCAAACAATTTATTCTAAACTTTCTTATATCACTAAATGCAAATCTGAATTCTGTGAAGTAGCAAAGAGTTGCATGGTGAGATTAGTGATGTTGCTCTAAAGATATTTGGGGTGGGAGGCCATGCTGTAGCCAGCACACACCCCTGCACACAGCCTCCCTGGGCTTCCACACCAACACATCCTGAGGGTTGTGGCGGTCGCTTTTCTGTGTTAGTTAGGGAGATATGATGTTCAGTTGTTTGGTCAAACACTAGTGTAGGCATTTCTTGGAAGATATTTCCTAGATGTAGTTCTTTAATATTTAAATTAAGTATACTGTGAGTAAAATTGATATCCATATCCAGGGTGGGTTGGCCTCAGTAAATGAGTCACAATTCTTAAGAGTAGAATATGGGGGTTCCCCAAAGATGAGAGGAGTATGTTCCTGCAGAACCCAGAATGCTGCTCTGGTTTGCTTGGACTTGACTTGCCTAGACTTTGCAGGATCCTCAAGCATTTCTTTAACCCAGGCATTTTTATTTTGTACCTCTGAATATGTTTAAATATGTTTGTATGTTTATTCTGTTTCTTTGAAGACACCTGACTAATAAGACAGGTTCTTAGCCATTCTTCTACTTGTCTACAGAATAGAGGATGATGGTGCACACCCCCCCTGTGTGGACAGAGCACAAAGCATGCAGCTCATGTGCTTAGAAATTATCTTGCTAATCTCCCATTGAGTAATCTTTCAGAATTCCAAAATTCTCAGTCTGTCAGCTCTTTAGGATGGGTCTGTCTAATTCTTGAGTTCTCTGTGAACTGGGAGTTTGATTTCCTGGTCAGAATTATGTTGAAGAAGTTGGGAAGGAATAATGTAGAGATCTTATAGGATGAATTGTATCTGTCAAAATGATTCGAATCCAGCAATCTCAGCATATGATGTTACTCGAAAACACAGATGTTGAGGATGTGAACATTTAGTATGAGGACATACTACAGTAAGGTGGGTTCATAGTCCAATTCAACAGGGTTCTGTAGAAGAAGATGGCCACAGAAAAACACCAAGAAATTAAGAGAATACCATAAGAGCAGGGATGGAGACAGATATTAGAGTTATACAGCAATACAGCAAGGAAAACTAAGGATTTCTAGCAAAATCATGGGTGATATGAGTCAAATTATGCTAAGGTGCTGGTGGCAAAGCTATGGCATGTGTGCTGTAGCTAGATATTTGTTATGATTAAAAGCTCTAAGAGGTTCTTCACTTTCCTAAGGACTTCAAAAGCACTATTGTCCTATGGTGTACTCTATTCATGATGTGTGAACTACCTGGGTGATGGTATTTTTTCAAGGAACCTGCAGAAATCTATGCATATGCTGTGTATTTGAAACCAGATCTCACTTGGCAATAAATGGTGTCAGATATCAATTTGTGATGTCATGTTTGATGGCCTGCTTAAGATTAGATTGGTCCATTGTACGATGTGGGGCTTCTGTTTTTGTTTTTGATATTTTGTTTGTTTTCCATTCCAGTTAGCAAGCAGTTACTGGTTCTAACCTTTGAATCTGGGGCAAATATTTTGCCCACTAACTTTCAACTAGTAGTTTTAGTGTCTTTTCATCATTAATGAGCCCAGACTGTTTTAGTTACTTTTTACTCATTGCTGGGACAAATACCCAACACTCAAAATGAAGGAAGGAAAGGTTTATTTAGCTTACAGTTTGTGAAGGCTTCAGTTCATACTCCACTGGCTTCAAGGCAAATGAGAGTAGTTCATGGCGGCAGAAAACAATGAAGAGCAGAGTCTTCCGTCAAGCCTCTGTTTCTCTCTCCTTTTTGCAGAGCTGGGGATTAAACTCAGTCCCTTGCACTTAAGCCTGTCTTCCTTCTACACTGACTGCCAAGACCAGAGCTCCACTGTGAAGAAGTTGCACAGCTGAGAAGATCAAGCTCCTCTGAAGACTAGGACTTCTCCAAGGAAGCAGGGCAAGGTGGTCAGGAAGCCTTCCTCAAGTCCTTTATACACACTTTTTATGCTGAGTCACTCTGGGGCAGACAATGGCCCTAGGGTGGAACCAATCACACCCCAGTGATGGCCAATCATGACCCAAGGCAGAACCAATCACACCCCAAGGCAGAACCAATCACACTCCAGGGCTACCCTTCACTAGTCTGAAGCTACAATTTAGCCAAGTTGACACAATGTATCAGCCACTATACTAGACACAGTCAGATCTTCTCTTGGGGATTGAAACACAACAATCTCTAGCAATATGCACATTTATTTATTCTTTTCTGAATAGAGGAACTTTTGCTGATAAACAGAGGATGAACTACTAAGGTTCTGCCTCAATCCACAGGAAAATATCAAGTTGTGACCAATAATGAT